TTATATGTATAATATGAGAGTATTGGAAGGAATTAGGTCATGGCTTAAATAAGAAAAGCATTAAATAAAATATCAGTATTTGGGGAAAATATTTAAGACTGATCTAAGTCATAGTTGTTCTATTGGCTTTGTATTGGGGCCTTAACTAAGCGTAGCAGAAAAAACAGACAAACAAACAAAACAAAACAAAAATGCTTTCTTGTTTTTTAACCTACCTTTGTGTGTATAAATATTTTCTGAAAGACTTCTATGGTTATCAGTTGTCCCTCACCAGTCCCTAAACTATGTAATAGGGCAGATAAAAGATAGCATGGAGAGGACAGAACTAGGTAAAATAGACTCAATTCTCTTAGAAAGTGAACAGCAAATACAAACTACCTCACATGAATTTCCACTGCTCTACAAGTTGATGTGCTCTGTGCCAAAGACGGCAGGTATTAACATACAATGAGTTAGGAAAGCAACAAGTATTAGATTAAATGCACTGTTAATACACATGGCATAGACACAGACGAAAATATTCACAAACATACACGAAGGACAACAATTAACAGATTTAAATATCTATGTATAAGACAGCTGATGGAAAAGCAAAAGCCACAGGCAGCAACTGTTAACACTGAAAGCTGCTTGAAACATCAGGCAAGTAATTAACCTTTGGCACACAGTTTCAAGCCCAAAAAGCAGTTCACAGAATTTCTTTCAGAATTTATGAACAACCCATGGAATTTATATCACAGACAGAGGATTCTTCAGCTGAATTAACCCCAGTTCCCTCTGACCTTAAAAAGCCATAAAACCAACAGGATACACCAGAGGGAGAATGTGCTATAGTGTTTCAGCTGACCTACAGAGTGCTGCCTCTGTCATTCCAAGGCTGCAAACCCAGATGATGAATTACAGAACAACATGCTAGGTTCAGATACAAAACATCGATGTCTCCCTCCATACATGCACATGCAGACATGCTCACTCACCCCAAACCAACTCAGTTTCTGCCAAAGGCCAAGTACTGTTAGGTCTCATTTACAGAGGTTTACTCTGAGATAAAAAAGGAGGAAAATTGCTTATTAAGGAAGCATGCATACACCCGTAAGTAATGACATTTACGGCCTGGTGCCATGTATTAAATAAGAGACAGAAAAGCCTATTTACACTGAGCTTCTCTTTCTGCATATGGATTGTTAAGCATATTAAAAATATGATTCTAAAGCAGAACAAGGAAAACTCCCAAGAACTCTGACAACCAGGTTTGTAAATGAAAACATTATGTAAAATGATAAAAAGTGATACACAAGTCTTCTAAAAGAACTTGGCCCGGCTTGCTTTTATGAATACAGAACAGAGACTCTATTAAGTGTGTGTGTGTGTCTGTGTGTGTGTGTGTCTGTGTCCCAAAAAAAAAAAAAAAAAAAAAAGACCATGCGCACAGAAAGTGAGACAACTCAAAAGTCTGAACCAGGACTCAAACCGAATCAGCTGCAATCACTAAGAGACACCAAGTTTTTCCCAATATCTACACCTATGTGGACTGTTTAGTCTCTTCTAAAGCAGCAGGCTTATTCACAAAGATGAACTACCTCATGAAAATGGACAGTGTTTAGTTATCTAACTTCTGCTCAGGATGAAAAGTGATATTTAGATGTCTGCCCAGGGACAGTTTTGAATTGGTCAGTTCAAAACCACAACATTTAATGGATACTAAGAGCATGAAATATTCAACATAGAATCATTTAGAAAATAAGCTTGTCACTCCATTGTCTGGTGAGCTGAAGACTTCTTATTGTTCAGAAACAGAACAGTTGTCAAAGATTTTCATGATGCAATGAACTTTGGTGGCTAAGAGCCATCAAATAAATATATATTTTTTTGCAGATGACAGATTCTCTTCACCAACTATACATTCTGCCATGAAGAAAACCATCCCTCAGAAAAGGTCACCTCACTGACCCATTGAACACACTAGAAAAACACAACTTCTCCACATTATGCAACAATTTCTTCCAATGGATTTGTATGCATTTATTATGATTGTGAACAACTTAGCTTAGGTCTTTAGTTACAACACAAGTCAAAAATACCTCTTCAAAAGTGCAATATAACAATATTTTTCCCATCTGTATTCCCTCAGGATAACCAGAAAGTGGTCAAGAGAACATCATAAGAGCTCATAAGAGAACATAACAACCAACTGTGAAAACATATTTAAGTCAATTCCCACTGTGAAGGATGTGACTTACAAAACTCATCAAAAATGTGATTGGCATCACAATAGTAACCAGACTGGAAGATGAAAGTTTTGGAGTTACATCATTATAAATGAATTTACTGAGCCATTTTTCTTGAATTATGACTTTAAAAGAGGCTTTTATATAAGGTCTTGAAAGTTCTGTTCCTTTTCTTCTCCACTGAAATTCTTTCATAAACTATTTTACAGTAAATATTGCATTAATTCCAACCTGTATCGTCCCCTCATCATCATCATCAGCTTCTCTCACCACATTTAATTCACAAGTTTACTTAAAATCCTGGTTGCCTCTCTACGTATAACTCATCTTAGCCTAACTTAGAAAAATCTAAGAGCACTGAAACATTAAGTGTCACTGGTATTGGCACATGTGTGAAAAGCATTTTCTCGCAGACAGCTGTAACAACTTTTCCCTCAAGAGCTATCTGCTCTATCAGCTTGAAACATGAAGGCGCCTCTGCTCTGTGCAAGTTAGTGTCTAAAATTGGTAACACACAAAAAGTCTACCTCAAATTTAAGAAAAAGATCTGTGAAATATGAAAAAACAAAACCAGTCAACTAGGAAATGTAAAGACAATGACATATGCAACACAGCAGAATGTGAATCCAGAGATTCTAGACAGAATTAGAGTAATATTCTGCTATTCCTTTAAGCACTGGGAAATTTATAAAAAGTCCTAATTTTCCTGGAAATCCAGTCTTGTATGTGAAAATACAGAAGAATTTAACGGTAACATGCTTTCTGATTGGATGACAAAGTGAAGTTAAAAAATTATCCTTACTTTAAAAAACAATATAGCATCAAAACCAAACTTAATACAGTTTAGAAATTAACATAGTCACATTCATAGAAGTGGACTGATGAGCTGAATGGCCAACTAACGATGCCGTCTAACTGCTTCCTGCCTACCTGGTTCTTGGAAGCCAAGTTAAGGCAGGTGTCTGGTCCTTCAAGAGGACACAGCCCCCAAAGATTCTCTTAACCCTTATTCTACCTGCTCTTCTGTTTGTGCTCTTCTACACTTCTTGTAGACCACACAGAAAAGACAACGGGGCAGGAGACTGAAGAGAAAAACACAGCAGGTGAGTTTGTTCAGAAAGGACTTGGAAAAGAGTTGAGAAGATGAAGTTACAGAAGAAAGAGCAAGCAGAAAGAGGAGGAATGGACAAAACTGCTGCATCATGATTCTGTATCTTGCCAGCTTTGAACTTCAGTTTGGTGCCTGCCATTATTGATTATTGTATATAGTAATCATCTGAACGGAATCTCTATATGTAGGTGTAAATGTACACGTTACATAGAATTTAGCAAAGAGCTAAAGATACAAATCAATTCTAGCCTTTTATCTCAACTGCAAGACGACTAAAATTGCTAGCATCTGTGGCAGCTGTATTCAAATTTATAAAATATATCAAAATGAAACCAACTTTTAATCTTAATAGACTTTTATCGGACAATGTAGAAAGCCAAAAGATTAGAAACACCAAATCTGCCATATCCTTGCAAATCAAATTTGCTTATGCAAAAATAAATAGAATATCACAGCAAGGCTATGTCACCTGATGCTTTTTCTGTCAAAACCAAACTATCATAGCACCCCCTTTCAGTTACATCCCATTTATTTGAAATGGAAAGAAACTCAGGTAACAAACTGACCTACATGTCCATTTTTTTTTTCAGTGAGTTTATAGAAACGCATATGTAACATGACAAGGAAACAGTATTACAATCTGGGTCACCACAGGACTATTGCAACAGAAATCTAATTTTAAGTGTACTCAAAGTAGAACATTCTAATCTGGGTAAGATAGAGGCTGTGATAAATGCAGAAGTTACACCAATATGAAACTAGAGTTTCAAGACTTCACAGAAGCCCTAAAAACTTATTTTAACTTTTAAACTTATCTTCATTTCACTGACAACTGAAAAGGCGTAGATAAGAGCTCATGATTTGGGTGGTATTCTCATTTTTAGAAATTAATCAGTAGGATCAGTTCTGTAAAACAGCACCTGATTATCTTGCAAAATCTTTCTCTAGTGACTTAATAATGTTCAAACTTTTTTTAGAAAAGCAGAAGCATCACTGTTAGAGTGGATCATCTTTTATCTTCTGGGATAGCATCCATCATCTCTTTTTAACATTCTATAGGAATTACACGACCAATGAAGAAACAGAACCAATGATGCCTTTGCAGCAAAATTATTCATATGAACAGACAAAACATCTAAAATTGATTTCTGCTTTAACTGATATTTTTCACTCAGAAATCACTGATACATATCTATCAGCATACCTTTTAAATACTTATTTTGTATAGCATGCCATGGCCAGCATATGCACTGTCTATCAGTGTTTCAAATCAAAAAAGACAATTCCTATTCATGTCACAGGAGCAAATCTTTTGTGGGTAAAAATAGTCATGGCTCCAATGAAATCACTTAACCAAACAGAATAGGTGGCAGGTTTAAACTTTATGCAACCAAACACAAATCTAACTTAGTAAGTGGCAGGTTCTTGTGAGCAAACAGAAGGATAACCTAACAGAATTTTAACCATCATTCATATATACTTATAGTTGATAATAGAATATGGTTTTACCCATAGAATATCTGAAAAAGAAGGTGCATTAGCCCAATCTATCTTGTAAAATTGTATTTCTGCCTGTAGATAGATGAAGCAACTGTACACACAGTTACCTTTCTATATACACAGAAAAACATCTCCATCCTTCACAGTAAATACGACTGTACCTGTATGGCTTCGAATATGAACTCTCAGTGTTCCATTGCTTGCAAACTTCTGTCCACAATATGGACAAATTTTCTCTTTTTCTCCTGTGTGAGTCTACATGGGATGCAGAAAGACAGGAATGAAAGTTTTAGCACAGCTTTAAAGAAATGAAATATAGAATGGATTAACTGTACTTGATATTACCCATTATTCTCTCCAACAACCATCATGTATTTTATTCAATCACATAATATCATTCTAAGTAACCACACCTGTTCATTCAATTCATTTCTGAACTTTCTAAACCAATCTTATTAACAACTGTGAAATAAACTGGCTTTTGAGTTCATCAGTTTACAATTTCCTGAACAGTTATTATTATAAACACCCTATTCATCTTTGTGTGTTTTCATAATTGCAAGAATAAATCACCTATTTTTCAGTTTGATTTCTGTTATAGCAGTGGCTAAACCAGTGAACAATAATTTGGTTACTTAATAAAATTAACCTTAATAAATTAGATTATTTTTAAAGGATTATATTTTTACAATTATAATTATAAATTTACAATTTATTTAATCAAATGCAGTGGAAAGAGTTTTACATTATTTATTTTAACTTCTCCCATTCTAAGACAGGATTTGAGCTGGATCTTTAAAAGGCCTCTATGAAGATTTGTGCATATGATTTCTGACTATTTCACAAATTTGAAACAGCCATCCACTCATCTAATTTATGATAGACAGTGATCCCTCAAAATGCAAATTTTCAGTGATTTCAATCAATACAAATTACATAATTTAATTCTACCTATTTTGCAGTAAATGCTACAATCAGATTACATATGCAGCATTGATAATGAGAAGTGTATCAAGTCTTTTAAGACCAGAATGCCTTACTGTTTAAGAAAGTACCACCCCAGTTTGCACTCACTTATTTTACAGATATGTATTAAGTACAGGGCCAAAAATACATGCATTATGTTTTCTAATGAACTCTCACAGCCTGCATCTGATGCAGTTGATTTATTCCCAATTCAGTTATTTTCCTTGCATTTTTTTCCTGTTAACATCTATTTAAATCTTACGTGTAAGCAGGCCATTTCTTCCAGAGTTGACCCTGCTGCCAGTCTGGAGTTTGGTATACAGGCATGTGATTAGGGCAGCGCAGCAAGTCCTATCTGCTATATGCCTGATGCTGGAGTACTGCATGGGATAGACATATTTACCCCCTACAGATTCTGGCTGCCACCAATAACCCTGTTATTGTAATAAGCATGCTAGGATGTTATGTACTATTGCAGTTTTCGAATGAAAAGTTAGAAATACAGAAGCATCTGGTGACTTTGTTTTCAGTCACGATATTACGGACATAAAAGGAAAGAAGATGAAATTGAAAGAGCTGATTCTACTCACTTTCTTATGGCTTTTTAGAACAGAGGGTGTCACAAAAGCTTTGGCACATAGATCACATTTATATTTCTTATGACCATCGTGGACAACTTGAATATGAACATTTAATGTGTCCTTTCTTTTGAAGGTAGCATCACAATGATCACACTTGAAGGTCCTCTCACCTTATAAAAACAAAAATTGAGGTTTAAAGACACCCGTTTTTTGTCACAATCATGTTAGTGCTCATTATTTCAGAAAAAATGAATATATGCGGCAAGAACAGACAACTGAAGAGCTGGGTCCTGAGAACTGAAAGTGAAGGAACACCACATCGGATAGAAAAAAAAGTCATTAGGAAATTAAGAAAGTGGAACTCACTCATGACAAAATCACAGATGGGAAATTAAGCTCTACAGCCAAAGATGAAATGGAATTTTAAATGGCTGACAGTAGAAAGAAGCACATTTCTCCTAGTCACAAAAAATGATGAAATAGTTTTCATCTTCTGCAACCTAAGTGATAAGAGGCATCCTTCTGAATTTAAGAGAGGGCTGAAAGCGAGCAAACTTTGAGTAAACTCTCTCATTCACTTCAGCAAAAGGCAAACTCAGACAAAAAAGACAAAATTTAAGGGCTTTATATACCAGCGTATTGTTCAACCAATGGTGATGTGGTTGAAGGTTATGAAAGAGGCAAGATTAATATTACCAGTTGTTTTAAACTTTAATAAAGTATGTAAGGGAAGCAACATATTGTTTAAAGTTGCATATATTTTTTCAATGGTTTCAGTGAAAAGAAAAAAAAAGAACAAAATCAAAGGCAGATGATGATGGAGGGTAATTATTACAATGAACTTTCTTCTAATCAGTATCATACATGCAGAGGAGAATCTCTTCATTTTTAACTGTTAACTACTAGATTAAGATCACAAATTAACTCGTTCAGCAATCACAGATGCTTAAGATTTCTCCAGAACAACACATGCTGTAACCTGAAAATCAGGTGCCCCTATCCCAGAATACTTTCCAACAAATTACACTACAAAGAAGCACTATAAGAATTATTCTCCACCACTCATTTTTCGCATCAGAGATCCGATTCACATGAATAAGGCAAAAGTTTGTATAAGAGTGCGTACTTTTTTCAGTATAAGTATACACACACGGAGCTAAACTCCTTTTTTCAATACAACTCATGGAAGGATGAAACTGTCCTTTGTCCTAGTTCAATCCAAACTCCAGTGTGAATAAAACTGATTTCTGTAAGCTCTATGTTAAAGCTCATCTGATGCTACATGCTCAGGCACTAAAAACCATATTTTATTACATGTGAAACAAACAACACATAAGTGAAGTTTATGTTGCCCACAGAAAGACCAAAAACACATCAACATTCTCAAACCTATAAGAAAGGTTTTATTCTCCTACAAATCAACAAATCAACCATTTAAAGAAATAAATGTAATGATAATAAAAAACTTGAAATCTCTCATTTATTTTCTGTTTGGAAACAGAAGCAGCTTTTTTTTGGACAAGCCAAAAACGTGCTTTCATGGTATTTAGAGTACAGATTGCCTTATTTCCTCAATACTTCAGTCTAGTTATTAGGAAGAAGAAATTTCAAGATAAATGGCAATACATTTTAGTAAGCTGTTAGGTGGCAGTTCAGTCCTGGTACTGCTTCTAACTGCTGGGTGAATTTCTTCAGTCCTAGTCTTGGGAATACGTGACTACTGTGCTAACTGCAAGTGAACTCATTACTGCTTTCACTTAGGTAATGTGCAAGTTTCGAATACTTCAGCAAACGAAAATAAAATACATTTCTTTTAGAAGTTACTTTTTATAAAAATTTCTATGCTTTATGGAATATTTCATTCCAATTGGCCTTTATTTTCCCTCTCTATTCTTTTTCTTACAGAAATACTTATGTATTTGGTATTTGAGTTCTATGAGAGGAACTATCATCCAGCTGTAGCATGACAATGCCAAGGCTCTGAGTTATTTCAAATATGAGAAACTCATTATCATGGCAATACAACCTGTCAGTCTCAGAGTTAGGTCATGAGGGGAAGAGCTCTGCATTTCTTCACCTGAAACAAGCACTTGAAACAGCAGAGTCGCTTTTTTAATCACAATCTTGATCTGAAAACTGTTTATTCTTCTGTTCAATCTTGTAATGACTTTCACTTTGCTAGTGCTCTGTCAACACTTCTTTTATAAAGGGACTACACATAAGGAAAATGAGGGGCTGCAGTAGGACCATATAGGCTTTTTACTCCATATTCCACTGTATAATAGACTACTGTCAAGACAGTTTTAATTACTGGCTTGGGATATTCTGCAAATGAAAAAGTCTAAATCTTTACATGCATGGAACACACTCTGAAAAGGATTTTAATATTATAATTTCATCACAGAATATAGATTTTACAAAATTCAGTATAAATTCATGAAATTACAGAATCACTCTTGTTCCAATAATTTATCTATCAGAAATACTGGAACACTGAACAAAAAAAAAGTTTATCTTTTTAAATTGCACTGGTGCAAATATAGCCAAAAAATCAATGCACTCTTTTCATAGCTACAGGGATTTCAGATCATGAATAAGTTCAAAAATTTAAAAGGCTGTCATTCGCATGCTGATGATAGTTTAGGGCTCTTTTGATAGTTTAGGGCTCTTTTAATAACAGAGTTCCACAGAAAATAAATATTACTACCACCCAAAAGCAAGGAAAGAGCACATCTCCAAAATTTCTGAAGGAGGAAGAACCTTAAAATGCTGAATTAAGCAACAACATACAATGTCAAGAGCAAGTTACTCATAAAGGAAAAAGGGCATTGGATTCCTCTGGGCAGCTACTTCTATTCTACTGCCAGGAAGCACTATCCTAAGGTCAAACCTGGCCTGCGAGACATATTATCAGTTCTAAGCTTTAAAACAGATTACCCACTAAGTAAGACACCTAGCTGTCTTTCCTTCCATTTATCCTTCCTTAAAATTATGTTAATACTATCAGCTAGTGCAGAAAGAAATGCTTTGTCAACAGATCTCAAATTATCGCTAGATTTTCTACAATAATTTGAATTTGTAATTAAGTGTATTTAAAGACAAGGTTTCAATTTCACCATGAATTTGCTAACTCCCAGGGTTCAGAGATGAATTTTAATTTTACTGTAGCACAGCAAGTGGCATATTGGAGCAAGGTGCCATACATATGAGAACTCAGTTCTTTTTCTTCTCTGAGCTAGCACTTACTATTATGAATTAGCAGATGTCTTTGTAGAGAGAATGGGGTTCGGAACAAAGCCTTGCATTCTTCACACTGGAACGGTCTCTCTTCAGAATGGGTCTGCAGATGAAAAACAACATGTCAGAGGAGAGATCGAGGAAATTACTAGCTGTGCTTGCTACGGTAATTACAGCTAATTTTCCAAACTGGATTCAGGAGGGGATATTAGAGTAATACGAAATATCAGGGGTAAAGTGGAACCCTGAAACTCAGCATAGCAGCAAAACAATATATTTATCATCGAAGTCCTCATAAGTGTTATACGGAGAGTATATAAATAGAAACAAAAATACAGAATAACAAAGAGGAAAACAGTTTGTTCAGTTCCATTGCTTCATCAGTACTAATACTTGCCTTAAGTACTTAGTAATACTAACAAGCCCCTTAAAATTCAATGTCTGTACACAAAACCTGCATATTTTGTCATCTGAGTTTAAGTACAAAACCGACCCAGTTATTTCAAGGGGGAACTTTAAAGTTCAAATAAAATTTCTCAGATCATGGTACTAGTCTTACACATCTACATCTCAGCTTCACATATTAAAAAATAAATAAATAAATAACAGAAGTATCAGAATTTGGATTTTTGTTTGCTGCAGTAAAAAACTCACCATAGCTGACAAATAGTCCCATCAAAGCCATAAACAAGCCAGAAAGCCAAGCTTAGATGAAATTTGCAAACATGCTGCACAGTTGCTGGAGAAGATTTGTGGATCTTGGGAAAGATCCAACTTCTACTTCACCAAATTTAAAAGCACTTTGCCTTTCATAGTGTTATTATTATCCCACTGTAGACAGTAAACTCATCTTTACAATTTGTTATCTATCCATTTTCTACTCTCTTTCAAAGAAAAGCAAGTTGTTAAAGCATCAGTGTGTGAATACTGTATTAGCTTATGAAGGCCTTAAGTAAAAGCTGCAGTGTCAACGGGCGAATGGGAGGGACAGTAAGTGTTTTACGGTATGTAAGGATTATGTCAACAAAAAAGTTATGCAAATTAGTTAATTTGGTAGCCTAAAGGTACTTATTAGCATTGTATACAAGTTTATAATCCATTTCTGTTTAGAGTAGAAAAGTTCATAATACCATAAAACATTTATAGCTTATTCCTAAAACTGGGTAGAGAAGAAAAGGAGCTGTGGGAAGTCAGCAAAATTAGACGTAGACTCAGGATTTTGAACTCAGACTGTTTTTAATCTAAATGTTCGTTCAAAAGAGTACCAAAACATTAGTGTACTTGCAATGGGATAGAGGTTTCAGACTCAAAGTCAGCTCCTTGGCCCCAGCCAGAGGCACTTACAGCAAAAAGGCAACTGGAGTAACTGTCAAATGTGTGGAGTATGCTACATGTTACACAAACGTGCCAACTATTTCAATCCAGCTCATGGTTAACATAGAGGTTTGCGTTAGTTGACACCCTGCTTGGCAGTCTCAGCAGTCAGGCCAACGATTGACAGGACATAAAGAGACTGAACTACCTTCTCACCTCAATAGGTGGTTCCTCCAGAACAGGGTTGAGACATATTGATGAGACACTGTGGGGAAGCTCGCAGTGCTGTTGTCTGTGCTGTACCTGTTCTGTGGATAAATAGAAGGGTTCAGTCTCTAGGGCTGTCAATCTGGCACCTTTCACGAGCGCAAAATTCATGTTGTTTATTTCAAAAATGCCTTTTTTTAGAACATTCACCATTTGAGTGATAGCTCTGAAGAGCACAGTGATTCACACAGATTTCCTTTTTAGTATCCCCTTGTCAGCTCTTTTAATCTTTTGACCAAAACGCAAGTATTCATCTGCGTTTTTTTTAAGTTCACTAAGGAGACAAATGCTTATCTAGTTGTACGCACATTTACGGGTACACAGATATCCCAAATCCTCTCCCACTTTTCTGAATGACCCAGAATTAAGTTAGGTCTATTTCAAAAACCCATGTAAATCTTAAGAAAGAGCAACATCCCTCAAACAAATCTATTAACTCTAACACTGTGCTCTTTTGAACCACATATAGGCTCTAGATGAGAGAGGGTTTCCATTCAACCAGAGCAGGCCCGAAAGTTTCAGCTGTCAAGCCATGTCCCATCAGTAAGGCATGAATCAACACCATCATCACATCTTTTCACATTCAGTTACATGAGTTTGGGATGAGCTATTAAGAGTACATTTAACCTATAGAAATCCAGATTACAAAGGTATGCTAGTATTTGCAGTGCTTAAATTATATCTTTAAATTCAGCTAGACAGGTTACTAGAAGCTATTAAAAGAGATGCTATGTTATATAGAATGTTATACAGAATATCCATGCAATCTGCTGGATAAGTTGGTATGTCTGCATCTGATAGCAGGTACGCAGTGCACACACAAACTAGGTTTTAAGTTTTATGCTACATATTTAATATATACATAGCAATAAACAAAGCAAAGAACTACTCTACACTTGGATGATGACATGCCCGATTGTATTCTCCGAAACATGTCCCACCAGCAACATGCCAAATGCAGGGGCCAGCTCTTCATTTGCTATCCTATAGAATAGATTGCAGCCACTCTTCTGTGAGGCACCCTCTAGAGCTGCATTTCACTCAAATAAGACAAAGTAGCCAATACAAAAGTTTGTAGCATCTAAATTCAAAAAGAAAGCGATCAAAAGGTAAGCTGAATTTGCTGTTTTAAGGCCCAGAGAAATACAAGCAGTATGCAACGCCAACAATGCAGTTAGTTTCAATGGCTTGATGTTCTTCAGCTGAGTGAAAGCTTTAGGCATTTTTCTATACTGTTCAAAGCTTTTTCTGCAAGTCAGTTGTGGCTTAGTCTTGAACTATATTAAATGTTTGGACACATTCCTGAAAACCTTTGTAAGTGTAGTAGCAAGAGAAACATTCTATTTACATTGAGAAAATATCATTATATTTTTTACTCTGTTACTGTTTCACCGCATATTTCCACCAAACTGGGACACAGAAAATAAAGCACAAACCAAGAACATGTTTTTACTGCAGTCTTTTCTAGAGCAGGTCTCTACTGTCAAATGAACTGTTTTACTGTTAAAATGCCAGTAAGACCATAAACAACAGCAAAAACAAACAAAAATCCTTCCAGATATACACATTTTCAATGACATACATATTCATTACACAGAAATCAACAATGTTCAATTCGTCTAAAAAACATAACCATATCTTCTCTTTAAATTCTTTTCTATGTTTATATCCCACTTAAATCCCACAGAGCAATCACTTTCTTTTTAAATTTTCATGTTTTCTATCAGGCAACCAGTGACTATGTCGACAGTGTTATGAAAGTGTCAGAATTCCTAGACCCTAGAGTAGGCTCATTTGGAAACAGTGCAGACATTAGCACCTGGCATCAAAAAAAAAAACTATACATGAAGTGCGATGCCACACAGAAACTATTCCTCTAGGGCTTCAAGGTTTAGTAATGGCTAATTTTATAAGGATTCAGTGCACTTTTTGAACAGTAGCATGATCAAAGCATCTAAGGACACACCCAATGACAGCCTTTCTTACCACAGCCTTTCTGGAAGTTCAAATCCAGTTATTCCCAGAAGAGAAGCTGAGGGAATGCAATTGTTAAAATTCATTATGCTCCCCAGGACCAGATAACCCTAGATTAACTATAAACCCGTTAAAACCCTGTGTCTGCTGACCTACTTCTGCTCACTCGTCATATCATCATATTTTTTTCTCTGAATGCATCCCATACACATAGTAACAAAGGGGCAGATGGAACAAAAGCTCAGTTCTCTCCTGTATAGAAAAAATATGTAATAAACAGCACAGAATATGCACTTTAATCAGTCTAGCCTAGATGAAAGGTGACTGGTGTTATCTGTAGCATAATCCAATGCTATGTGTACTTCTTAATTTCAAATACAACTGCCTACCTTCGCCACAAGAATGGAACTACATTTTTGATCGCTTGGTCATTTAGCCTGAGCTTTTTCAAGATCCCCAAACTAGTTCTGCATTGCATAAAGGTTTTCAGCACTGACACCTCCAAGCTTGTGCCAGAGCAAGTCCATACATGCACCCACGCAGAGCAGCGCAGGGCTCCTGCGCAGAAGCCACGCCTCAGAGCCAGCACGTCCTTCCTCGCAGCTCTCTAGCTATAGTGGCTTGGTAGCCAAGGGCTAAGGTAGAGTTCCTGACACAGTGCTCCATGGAGAAGAGTAGAAGTAGACTCATAGGGAAAACCACTGCCAATCTCCCAATGAAGGCAGTAGAATGTGATAACCTAAACTTCTTCTGCCCCTTTGAAATGATCCAGTAACGCCCAATGACCCAGCAACCTGCACCTCAGAGATGTTTAAAAACATGTGCTGTGGGAGCCAAGTTGCGGGAGCCAAGATTTGATCAACATGTTGAAGTACCTGAGGGGTGATTGTAGGGAAGATGGGGCCAGGCTCTTCTCCGTGGTGGCCAGTTACAGGACAAGGGGTAACGGGTGTAAGTTGAAACACAGGAAGTTTAATCTCCATATGAGGAAGAACTTCTTTCCTGTGTGGGTGACAGGGCCTCTCTAGAGGCCCCTTCCGACCTTAACCATTTTGTGATTCTGTAATTTGCAAGATTCTGCCGCATGTTTTTAACAGTCTTAACACATAAGACAATCACAACATACATGGGAGCAAATCTCATCTTTGAATAGGCTTCTGCATGTTTTCTGTTTTAGGTAGTCATCTCTGCTTCATCCTACTTGAGGCATTATTACTACTCTCATACGATTAATAGCTCTAAGTGCAAGAGATAGTACAAAGATCCTATGCACGATTCCTGGATGGCCACACTGTGTAAAATCTGTTAAGCAGAAATACGTTGGTTGTATCAAAGAGAAGTGGAAGGAAGAGGGAAAACAGGAAAACGAAACAAAAAGAGTTCCAAATACTGCACAGAGTATCACACAGGTAACATTTCTACAGTCTTGTAATTCTGAAACAGCATTCATCGATGCGGCTTTGCTACTGAAAATGTAACCTCTGGTTAAAAGTAATGACAAATACTACAGAAATTATGCCAGGCTGACTTGAGCTTTAAATCAACAGAAGCAGAGCATTGCTTCATGACCATATTCCTCCAGTAATGTGTCTTCTGATGTTGTAATTTGTTACCCAGGGCAAATCCAGTACTGTTTGACAGCAGTCCCTGGTAAGTCCAATAATTAGGAATGACTGCAACAAGACTATACTTAAGCTTTATTCAAATATAGTATTTTTAAAGAAAAAAAGGACATTTTAGATCTGTTAAAACATAACTTGATAACCTAATACTAAAAAATAATAAATAAATAATCAAAATTGGGATTTATGTGATGTTTCTAACAAAGAAACTGTGGTTTGCTTTTGCCTATTCTGCTTTTTTAATAATAGAATTCATTTAGAGATTCATTTGAGATTTTAATTATAACAAAGAACACTAGCAAATGCATTTTCTAAAGCTTTAATCCCATGTTTTTAAGCATGCCAGAGCTTAATGATCAACCATTTAAAGGAAAAATAGCTGCAAATCTGAGGCTGGCAGACCTGTAAACAACAACAGCAGAATGCTTTACCTTCTTGTGATTCTTGTATACATTTCTGTGGGCAAATCCCTTTCCACAAAGCTTGCATTTATAAGGTTTATCTTCACTGTGTATTATTTTGTGTGCAGTCACTTGATCAAGTCGTTTGAAGGACTTATTGCAAACCTCGCAGGTGTAGGGGCGTTTTTCTGCAGAAAATGAGTGGGGGACATTTAATCTCCTGTTTATACAGGGGGAGAAGATGAAAGGCAGAGACAGTCATCTCCTCAGAGAGATTTCTGCAATTAAGTCAACCCAATTAAGATTAAACCAATTAGAAAGACATCTAATGCCCTTTATGTTAGACAGTTAAGTCACTTCACAAAAGATGAGCCATAGTGTATCTCAAGAAATTGGCACATTCTTTGCAATAACCATTGCTAAAACTAAATTCTGATTAATTAGCTTAAATCAAAAGAGAATGACTTCAAAGAAGAAAACCCTGTTTCCAGATTACAAATGTGAAAGAGGGCATGACAGTTTAAATATTTTAAAACTTAATTAACAATATACATATTAGCTTCCAAAACCAAAAGTTGCTATACAAAAAGCCTTTATGCTTCAACTGGTGACTGCAACTTAACTACATTAATGCTCATTCAAAAGTGTTAAAAGCAAGCTAATAGCCTCTGAGATAAAGGTTATGTTATGAGAAACAATTTTTCAGTTTGGACTGATAAAAAGAAAATAATTCAATTACCAGTTTGTGCAGCTGTAAAATCCTGCATTTTTTTTTAAAAAAAAAGTGTTAACGTATTTGACCATGTTTGTGTTTTCATTGTGTTGGCTGATGTTTCTAAACACTGGTGAAAGCAATGGAAATGCTAGTTTCCAGCAATTGGAAATCTTGGCCAAGCCAATTTCATCCGCCTGCCAAACCTGCAGACAGAGGTCACTACTGTTCATGGTGACCCGTTCTAGCAGAGGACCAACATGATGAAACGCTTATGTGTGCCCTATGAAACAGTGGATTATGAACTGCTTTTCTCTGACCATAAACTCTATGCTAAAAAAAACAAGTCTAAATATTTCCCCTTTCATCACAGATCTCTCTGGCTGACATCTTACCTCAGCTCCCATCCTTTCATCTTTAACATGAAATTTCACTCACTAGCCCTTCTCCTTCATAAATCAAACAGCAACCTTTTTTCCCATCCCCATACAACTGACACATTCTGCACCAGCCACCATGAAAGAACAGTTTGACAAAGCAGCACAGGGAAGAAGACTACAGCATTACATTTGGATTTCCTAAAGCCTTAAAAACAATAACTCGAATGGTTTCGTCTTGGAACCTGAAATTTGCTTGAACAGCTCAGGACAATGTAGAATACCTCAAGCTGTCTGTAAGAAAATAATTCAGGTAAAAAATCAGTAGTCACAAAATAGATATACATATATATGTGTATATATATATGCACGCACACCCTACATAGATTTGTCTGTGTTATTTTTATATTTTACCTGAATGAGTTATCATATGGCGCTTTAGTTGATTAGCTGAAATAAATTTCTTATCACATTCTTGGCATTCAAAGATCTCATGAACCTGAAAAATGAGTGTTTAATGACAATTAATGTGCGTCCAAAACAAGGTGACACTTCTTATACACACAGAAATTCTCTAACAGACATTAATTCTTACTTAGCCAGAAGCTATACCAGTACTTCTGGATATATTGCAATTTCTCCAATACTACAACCTTGTTGATCATCCTCTCAAAAAATTAATTAATATCAAGGCTATTAGCACACTAATGTGGCATCTTTGTGGAAACCACAAAAAAAATGTTCAGCTAGGGAATCCACCTAAATAGGAACAAAAAACAAAACTCCAAAAAGTTTCTCCATGTGAATTTTTTCTCACACTTTGCACTTCACCATGATTTGTGCTACTACTTCCAAATCAACTTTAAAGCAAATTACATTTTTTAATAAACCAAAGAGAGGTTATGTCTTTTTCTAAAGCTTCTGTATACTTGTGCAGTTTTCACACTCATGCTTAGCCAAATGCTTAACCAGAATCAGATGGTAAACTCAAGTTAAAAATAATTCACTCTAAAGATCATGCTTACCTAAGTTCATTTCATATTCATTTCTTCTATATGCATAGACAATCTACTACTCTATCCTTTCCCAACAATCTTGATTTTGACTTAAATTTTAAAGTTTGCATAATTATGTAACTAAACACTATCAGAACCGCCCCCTTACCTCAATTACTTGAAATTGCTTTTTAGGTACTCTCTGGCATGAGATAACACAAACCTATAGAAAGGAGGTTTTTACAACAAACCCTTTCATTTTACTAGCCAGTCTTCTGTGAGTTCCTGCATGACATTTTCTGAATAGTTTCTGAATAGTTCTGCTGGGGTTTATGTTATACTCCCACATTACTTATCAGCCCAAATAATGGCTTATTATAGCTACTGAATAAAAGGACGGAAGATAACACAAAAGAGAACATATGGGCATAGACACAAGGATACTGCTCACCATTAAAAGCAATGATGCCACCAGATTAGTATCATAATTCTTGTTAAAGTTTTGCAGGCATCATGCAGAAGGAGGGTTGTATCAGCATAAATGGCTTTGGAAAACCACTAGAAAGGAAAATATATATGATCTATAGTGTGTGTCAACTATAGAATGAAAACACTTAGAAAAAGGAACTGAACTTTGAAAAGAAAGATGCATGAAGGAAGGTTGAGGCAATTGTGTTTGTACAGTCTAGAAAAGACAAATGGAGTTCATAACAGTTATGCAGAATGCTAATGTGTTATAAAGAAGTCAGTGGATATTTTTTTCCCTGGACATTTTCTGCAATAGGACAAAGAGCTATAGATTCAATGTGCAGTAAAGAAAATTTAAGTAGGACAGCAGAAAAACACCCTAGCAGTAACTAAAAAGCACATTCAAAAAACACAGTGGTACTAAACTTGGAAGTCAGAAATAAAAATGATAAATATTGAAATGGCAGAATTTTCTTCATTGGAACTTTTTACAAGATGAGAGGGCATTTATCTAGGATGATTCGGGTATATTTTTACTCTCCCTTGTAAAACAGTATGGGCTAGAAAACCCCCTAGGGTCCAAAGGTCTCTCCAGCCCTACATTTACTTGAAATTATTGTCATAAAGAAAAAAAACAGCAAAGGCTTGCAGTAAATATCTGTGTGGTAAATTCAGAAGGGTAAAAAATAATAAGACTAATAGGCAGATGATGACAGCAGAGTTAGAAAGTGAATGGCTAAGAAAGAGCTTATATTTACAAATTTAAGACAGAAGCCATCTACAAGATCTGAAAAGCAAAACGACAAAGCCAAAAAAACAACAACAATTTAACACCAAAAATGAAATGAAGGTTCCAAGCCTGAATAACAGACTTGCAGAGAAAGAAGGTAGACAGGATGGCCAAAGAAGGGTTAAGAGATGTGATTAAGCGAAGGGACTATCAGCTTTCCCTCTGTATTCCTACTGCTCAGGATTATTTGCTGTTATCTCATATATCTTACCTTCCTATTTCCTAGTTCTATTTCTTTATATTGTCATTTTTGGATTCTCTCTTTATTGCATTTTTCATCTATTCCTTTCTTACTCTTTTCCCAACCTCGCCCAAGTCTAAATACTTTTGGTGATGTTGGTGATTGCTTCAAGGCACCACACTCCCAAAGCACAACAGTTCAAACACCCAGAAAGCACAAGTCCTATATGCAACTCCCTTCTCTTTCTAATGCAGATTTGTGAATCTGGAACACTTATTTTCTGCATATTTTAAAGAAGGAACGAAGCAAGAAGCAAGATTTTATGCATAAAACGTTCAAGGGGGCTCTTAATGTAAGTGCTCAATCTCCTTACTAATCAATGCCACCAATAAAAGCTGTAAGTTTTTGTCCAAGTGTCTGCATGGAATGGTAACTTGAGACACAAAACAAACATTTTCATAAAATGGACACACTTAAACTACGATATTTTGCACTTTCAGGCATCATCACTGGTGATTAAGAACTGTGATGATCTGAGGGTAGGCATACTACGATTCGGTCGAGCATTCACAATGCACAGACCTGTTAGCCAAAAAAGGCAGGGCATTTTATTACAAGAAAGGAAAATGCTAATAATAATAAAAAGAGGGGTCCCACCATTCTGTTCACAACAACATGTATTCACTGATATCATCTACATCTTCACTGGATTCAAGTTATAACCAGGGTATTATTAAGGACTCACAGTTAATCTGATAAACAGTACAATGCAGGTTTTTGTAAAAACAGATCTCCTGGGTTTTAGAGATTTATCAAATTAATCTTGCAGGGACTTCCTTTGAGTATAATGGATTCAGAATCTCATACTCATAGTCCACCTGTATTTCTATATGAACTCCCTTATTTCCAATACATGTTTTTTTTTTATCTATTAACTCTTCTTGTTCTGGTTGTAAAAGATTATGTACAAAATAAGATGACAATTAAAATTTCTTTTTCAAGGATACAATTTCTATACTACTACATAGCTAAACTGCAAATAACTCCCTACTGCCACATTATAGAATATTAAGAAAGATTGACATCATTTTGCACATAATTTAAGACTCATGGATCATACACTGAATTTGTACAAAAAATGAAGGCTATTACTGTCTGCATTATCATATTAGTATATAAGATACTTTTACATTTTGCTTACTTTTTAACAATGCAGCTAAAGAACAGCTGGTAACCTTGGTTTAGCATGGGAATGCAGAAGGTAAAACCATTTTTATATTTGGTAAATGACACTCTAAAAATATAGGAAGATTTCTGGCTTAAACACTTGTGATTATATCAATAAATTCACATAGTAAAAGACACTGGTTTTGTAACCATGAAAAAGATTACCCCAAGTTTAGCATTACATCAATTTTCAAGTGACCTAGGCACTACAGTCTTATATCTTAGCTGAGTCAAAGCCTGCTGTGAGTTGGCCTTCATCTTACTGACCTTTCGATGTTCTTGGAGATTTGTTGCTGAGGAACACTTCTTATTGCACACTGAACACATCAGCTTCTTCCTAGAATTTCCTGGAACAGACACAAAATACCAGCAACATCTTAGAAAGGAAGTACTAAGAAAGAATCTAAATATTTCTCTGAAGTTTGTGATTTTTCCACAGGTCATTTGACTGACACAAGATTTTTACATTTGTACCCAATTTTCAAAGTACAGGGTATCAGGAGTTCTCTGTGGGTGTCCAACAAACCAGTTACTGATGGAATGTAAACTCAGGAGAAGTAGAGCAATAAAGCAAGCAAACCTTAAAACAGATATTTTCACATGTTAGCAATCAACTACGAAGAGCACAATTCACTTTAATACTAAGAACAATTAACATTAGAACAAAGCTGTTATTTTGTCCAGAAGCAGTCATCTATATCCTCAAAAATATCAGGCTAGTTGTTTAAACAGATTTTTTCGTGATAGAATCAGTGCAGCAATGACAAAAAAGATCCCATACTGAAATCAAAACCACTGTTTCTCATTTTTCTTTATTCAGAAAGCATTAAGCATTCCACTGTATAAAATAACATACCATTAATACTTTTATAATTAAGTAATTTGTATTAGCACCAGATAAAGAATTCAAAACTAGTCTATAACGCAAATTACAAACCATGCTGAAGATCAGCTACTAGATGTATTTTCCTTCCTCTTCACGGTTGCTTTAAAAAGTGACAGAGCATTTAATTGGGTTTGTCTGTTATTTACCATGGTTTCAAATTCATTTTAGTACCCCACAAAGCTGTTTTATTAGAGGTAAAGACACCACTAGGCTAATTCTTTGTTTATAACAGTATGTCTATGCAAGGTATTTCCCAGCTTTTGTAAAAGATTTTCATAATACACTAAAGACAGACGCAGAGGCAGAACAGAGATAAGTACTGCTTAGTCAAAGCAAAGAGGTAGTATGGAACACAAAACTCATGAGACACCCTCCGATTCAGTATTCCAGACTCAGAGTACCCTATATCATTCCTGATACTTATGTTGATTTTAGTTATTTAGTTTTCTCATTAATTCAGAGGGTTTTTTTTTTTTGTCTGATAAAAAGCCTGGCCTTATTTTTCCTTCCCTCAAAAACTAAATTATGTTAATAACACTCTCTCCATTTATCTATTTCAATGCTAAAAAAGTCCTATAAGATCTCATGCATTGCTTTAGAATATAAATTACAACATACGTATGGACAAAATAACCAAATAAACATGGTTAACAAGGCTGGTCTTGAGAGTGCTCAGCCCAAGATGCAACAGCGTACTCAGAACTTTGGTGGATGAAGCAGAAAAGAGGCAGACCGAACAACTGGGACTGCAACAAGTAAGCTTGTGCGCCAAATTCTCATAGACATAATCAAAGGGATATCACTAAACGGCTTCTGAAACTGCAAGAAAGTCATGCAGGACCATCAGCAATTGCCCTGAACAAGGGAGTCTGGTCTTCCTAGACCCTTCACACATTCAACATTGTAGACGTGCTGACTCATGATAGAACTGCTCATTAGAGAAAACCAACGCTCTGTCTTATTACACCTCGTTAGCAGACAACGTGAGCAGATTAGTCACTTTATATTCCTTTGGTTTCTAAAATAAAAGGTAAAAAATACATAGTTTTTTCTTTTTTACTAATTGCAATTATACATGCAATCCTGTTCCACACGCTCTAGGTGACCCTATGTGTGCAGGGGGGTTGGACTAGATGATCTCCAGAGGTCCCTTCCAACCTTAAGGATTCTATGATTCTACATCCTTCCAATTGGTGATTTTTCCATCTACTGATGCCAAGAGAGTGCACATAAACACTTTGTAAGACTCCAGACTCTTTAATGTTAATGTAAACATTGCTGCTTTTACAAAAGTAATTTTTATGCAAATGCATTATCTTCCAAATGAGACTGGTAAAACACTTTAAATACATTATTTTTCTTGTCAAAATAAAATTGTGTGTTAAAAACTGTAGGAATATATGTAACTATATTTTGCCAAAAGATGTTGAAATTACTTTTAATCTCAAATGAACCATGGAGCCCTGTAACTAGATACAAACATTTCTTAGTCCTCAGGGACTACATCTACAAAACATGTCCTAAACTTCTGTGCTTCCATCTGCTGAAGACTGAGTAGGATCAAACTAAAGCGGCTAAGCTAGAAAACAAAGGTTACGTATGTTGTAGCAATATACCACAGCCTGTAGTGAATGGAATAACTTGTAGAGAATGTTATTAGTTTCTAAACCATCTTAATAAATTCACAGCTTTATTTCCAAATCAAGAATGGTATTTCTGATAAACATTTTATGTAAAGGTATGAAAGAATCTAACAGCATGTTTAAGAACATAGAGGATTTCAAAGATTTTGAAAGCAAACTCAGTACACCCAGCTTAGGTCACACTGTCGCAATGGATCAGACGCGTCGGAAACGATCTTGAAGAAGGCTGCCCATGTGTAGTGAGCAGACAGTGAAAGCAGTATACAAAATATTCCTCTTACTACAGCACACCCAGTCAGTTGGTTCTTCAGTATTTAAATTTGTAGTAGGGAAAAAGAAAAAAAAAGTCTATTCCCTTCATGTCTATTCCCAACCATATCTGAGAGGCTATACAAGAGAGGAACTGCAGAAGTTCTACACCTCTACATAACTTGAAAAAAGCTGAACTTAAACAAAACAATACTCACAAATGAGTAAAAATGTTACTGTGGGAAAGAAAGAAAAAAATAGAAAAGGAAAAAAAAGAGAGATAATCTAAGAATAGTTCTGGAATTTCTGTACATTGTAAGAGATTGGCAGAAGAATAACTTCATCCAGTGAAAGCTTTACAAAGCATCACAGTATTCTCATAATTAACTGAAGACTGTTTTCTTTGCTCGTGGGTATTCTGCTGTCCCCATACATACTGATCTTTCATTGACACCGAGAAGGGGACGTGCAGAGAGAGCATAATGCCAGAGCTGAGATCTGCATTTGGACCCGAGAGAAGCATTTTGCCTTTTCATGAAAACAGAGTCAAGTTTGCTTGAAAACTACTGATATGTGCAAAGATATAAAAATGCTAGTGCCTAAAAGGACTAGCAGACTGTCCAGTTTGGTTTTCTGCGCAACAGAGGCTGTAGAATTTCATGCATTACTCTCATCAAGCCTAATCATTTGTGAAGCATGTCTTTTAGAAAGACATCCCATTGTGTCCTGAAATTACCAAAAAAAATCAAGAACTCGACACTTCCTGGGGCAGTCTGTGCCAGTGATTAATTTTCCTCACTACTGAAATGTTGTGTTTTATCTATTACTTGTCTTGTTTAAACCTCCCTGGATTCCTATCACACCTTCTGCAGTAGACCAATGAGTCATCTGGTGTACAGTAATTTCTTCTTGTGGGAGAAGGAATACTTACTCTTGTAGTTAGTTACTTCTTATTTTTCTCTTTGATACAAATGAATACATTAAAAAGGAAATCAAAGACAATGCACATATCAAAATTTTTATTGCTCATTTGTTTGTTTTTTGAGGAAACATTAAACTGTTTCTTACCACTGTGAACATTTTCCTTATGTTTTTTCAGGGCATCCTTACTCTTGAACCTCTTCCCGCAGCTGTCTGCCTTGCATATGAACCTGGCATCCCCTCTGCATGCCTCTTTGTGCTGTTCATAACTATATGGGATAACCAGAAAGGAAAAACAATGCATGAACATCTAGAGAAATTAAACACGTACCCAGCACTCTGAGCTTAACACATGCTACAGTGCAGAGTTCCAAGGCCACCTCATGCATTACTTACAGCAAATAGGAATGAAAGCATTTGACTTCTTTCACTGTTAGGATTCACATAAACTAACAAGCTTGAAAGCTAGCATGCAAAGGGAGGCCAGCAATGATATGACAGCAGTCCAGTAACTCAGACACAAAACCTCGATTCTGAGCTGAAGGAAGTATTGCAAACAGAACACTGAAAACTTCTTGAAGAGTCTCCTGGGCTGATGTTCTCTGTGCATTGAAGTACACTAAAAAACAAAATAAAATATAGTCATTTTACAATTTACACAGGATTGCAGTAACTAAAAATGCAGGTCCAGTTCTACAACTCTTTATATAAAAAAACAGTTCAATTAATGCTTGAGGTATCCTGGAATTCATGGGGACTAATCACACGCATACACAGCAACGGTTGGAGCCATACTACTGTATTCTTTGTCAGGTAAACTCTGCATGATGTAAAGATGTATCTAACTGGCCATACTACACAAATCCAAATCCTACCACAGATCAGAAGAAACAAATACATTTTCAACAGAAAATATTTAATTACCATCACCAAATATTTCTCCACAATACAATTCTTTTATTTATTTCCATGAAAGAGCACAGAACTTATAAAACAGCTAATAGTTTTAAGACTAATAATGTTATTTAAATGTAAGAAACAGAAAAATTCATTACAGCAACAGTCTTAATAGCACTCTATGCAATATGAGTCTGTTCCTTCCTGATATGAGAGAATTAAATGTAGTACTATGTATAATTAAAAGCAATATATTCATTTAGTTATAAGCACAAAAATATATAAAAAATACAAAACAAATTCAACTACATTTTTCTATGACATCCTCAGCTACAGTACCATTTCCTAATTTTCCATACAGACCACCATTACAGACCAACAGTTCTGCACCAAACAGCTCTGATCTATCTGTAATTTATAATTTTAAAAAATATATTTATTGCATTTCTGTGACAAGAAATTCTCAAGAAATACAGGAAGTCAACATATTAAAAAAGTGAATGTAATGAATGAACTATACGCGTGAGCAATTCAAACAGTAAAGGCAATAGTATTTACTGTACCTCTTAGCCTCTTAAGTATTATGGAGCGGGTTCAAATAAATAGGCATAAAAATTAAAGCTAAAATTATGCATAAGCCAGGAGAAATTGATAACTTAAAAGGTCACTGATAAGCAATCTTGTTCCTACTCACTGTCTCTGTAGAGCTTGTTTAACAGGGAATTTCTTTCCACAGTTTCGGCACTTAAATTCCTTCTCTTCACTGGGTTTTTGGTGCAATGTCTGAAGATGTTCAGCTAGGATCTCCTGGCTGGCAAAACTGGATTCACAGTTTGGGCATGCATGGTCCTCTTTACAGCTGAGGGGATCTGCATCAATGAAGGAAAAGGAGAAAACAATGAGGGGACAGTGTTCACAGAACATTTTGGTTACATTAAGAGATACAGTCAGTCAAAAACAGATCATGCAAAATGGTATCATAAAATTCATGACAGGCATTGCCTCTCAATGGATTATCCACACAAAGTGCCAGGAGGTAAAGGGTTAATCTTACCTTCAGTTTTATCAAAAATGGATGCAAAGTATAAAGACAGATGTGATTTAGGCTGTTAGTTTACACTGATCATCCTGGCTGTAAATTCACCACAGCAATTCAGATCACCTGTCATTTCTTTGACATCTTAGCTTAAGACTGGCTGAACTGCTTTATGGAAAAGTTTATTTCATAAAGTAATTTCATCACGTATGACAGAAGAAATTTGCCCCTCTCAGATTAAAAACTCAGCTTTCGTGAAGCTATAGGCAGGTGAGAAAATCCATTGTAAGTTTAAAAAGTATTGATAACTTGTCACAAAATGTAGGCTCACTCACTCTTTCAGTAACACATGGCAGTTGCTTTCCCATACTAGGCAAAAGGAACCCCAACCCAAAGCGAATCCACAAGACACAAAGTCATACAAGTAATTTCAAACTACGCTTGAGGACTCTTCAAATTTTCCAGTGTTATAAAACTGGTTTTCTTTCTCTTCATTACTACTTTCAAGCTCTCAGTTTATCTTTTCACACATTGCCCACCTACCTGCACTTTTTTCACCAACTGGTTGTACTTCTTTGTTGTTGTTACTGTCTTCATCTTCCTGGATAACAGTGACCTCTTCTTCCTCCTCTTCCTCTTCTTCCATGTCACTGTCCAAGTAGCCAATCAGAAGTTCTGTGTCTGTTTCAATATCTTCCACGGCCAGATAGAAAATATTTTCCCCTTCCTGTTGCAAAAAGTGGAATGACTGATTTTGAGCATGAATGTCCAAATGTCTGACAGAATAACTGTACAGATGATTGACTATCAATGAATGACTATATCAGAAAACGTGAAATATAGAGCTACATTTGGAAGCCTGAACTAATATGAGCCCTCAGGGAGAAGAGAGTTGGAATAGCCCTTCTGAGATTTCTTTCCTAGCGTGGCTGCACAGATAAATTGCTCTTGTATGCTGAAATATGCCCTCTGTCTCCCCTGTGAGACTTTTACAATTTGTGCTGCAGCCTAGACCAGGATGAAATGGTCTTAAACACTCTCTGCCTGACAAGAACTTCAGAGTTAGAAAATAAAACATTCAAGAACTGGGAAAAAAAAAAAAAAGAAAAAAGCTTAAATAATCAATACAGCCTTATCTCTGTCTCCTACTGCCTATATGGATTATATATTGGGAGGCAAGGGAGGGGAAGAGTTTTCTGCTCATCTTCTTTGTTTTTGTTTTTTTTCCTTAGAAGATTCAGACTTTTTAAAGAAGGTCAGCACCTTTATTACCAAGTTGGCAGGCATCTCTCTATAAAACATATTTTAAAGTAAAAACCCTCTTCGGGTTTAACCTGGTGCTGATATGCAGATCAATAGAGGGTAGAGGATACAGCTGAGATTCTGCTGAGAGAACAGTGCAGGGAACGATAAGGCCCCAAAACTTCTCCACAATGAATAAATGAGCTTCCAAATAGATACATAAGCCAACAACTTTGTCTTCAAAAATGTTTAATTAAAGTTCCTGGGGGAGGAAGGAAGCAGCTGTCTTCTAAGTTGATATATAGAGTTGTTTTTTTTCTGCCATATGTGAACCAAGTGGTTTGGGTACTACCCAAAGCACCAAAAGCAGACTCATGTTTACGCAATGAAGACTTCCAAGTACTGCCATAAATCTTAAAGCTTATCTGATTAACATTCAGGCAAGCTAATTGAGGCTTCTTTACAGTACATCTAGCCATATATTTTGTAATAGACTTCACAGTATGAGGACAAGATAATGATTTTTAATTTTTGTAATATACTAAGATTAATTTAAACTGTCAACAGGCATGTAGTATTCCTCATGCTTTGGAAGTCTATAATGTATTACACAAGTTACTGTCACACACAGGGAAACCTATTTAACAGATTCAGCAGCAGCTGCAGTCTTCAAGAACCTACCACTTTTCCCTCCTTATCTCAATGACAGTGTTTGAAAAAATAATTACACATTTTCTTCAAGATAGACTAGACAGACTTCGCAATCCAGATACCCATCAGCATGCCATCCTAACTTCTGCTTCCATGTAAAAGTTGCTATTTTTTGTATACCTGTTTCGAGAGTTTCAGAAAACTTTAATTTACTACAGTCTAAATTCAAATCACATCATCTGCAAAGCTGATCTGAGAAAAGGTGAAAGCTCTTCCCACATTCATTCTCCACATGGGCTAAAACCATTGACATATTTTACACTGCCCAGTAAACCTGGGGGAGCAACAACCTGTTCAGATTATTAGGTTTGCCTACACCAAGTAGATGCATCCCAACAACTGAACACTTATCAGAACAACTGCATCTCAACCACCTTCACACCTCTCCATTTGCCCACAGCTCTCAGTGCCAAAAATTGTCTCACCTCTTTCCCATTTGTGTACTTTCAGTTCATTATAAGATTAATGAAAAAGTACTACAGAGCCCGAGGGCTCTGCTTCATCAATCTGATGCTTCACTAATCTTTGCTGCATTTTCATTGAAAAGGATTTAGTTCGGGTTCTGACCCAAACTAAACCAGTTCAAGCACATTATTCCTCCACGGCTAATTTGTCTGGCTTTTCCACCTACACTAATTATCAGGTAATCAGAGCACTAATTAGTCCAGATATTCCCTCACCACTGCAGCTCCATGAGTAGGCTTTTCACTGAAACAAATGAAAGTGATCCAGAAACCACAAATGAAGGTATTTAAATCTTTCCTTCCATCCATGGCCAATAGCACCCGCATGAAATACATTTATCTACATGCTTGAAGACAGCGATGCAGTGGACACAGTAAAAGATTTTACAGATTATTTAATAACCTTCCCATTCACGAAGAACACATCTGTCTGCCCATCTAGTTAGGCCATCCTGGGCCATTTGTTTTGTTCATCTGCTGTAGGTCACAAGGGTCCTGGAGGGGAAATTCATAATGCTCATTGGCATCAGGACCTCCCTTTCACCCTTTCTTCCCTATTCCTAGTTTGTTATTCCGCACTGTTTCTCTGCCTCCTTCCTTGAATTCCTTTTCTCCTTTCTGCACCCTTTCTGCTGTGCATCATAGACTACCACCACTCCCCCCACCAGCAAATATATATTTTTTTGTTCAACTAACTCTTGCTGTTCCATTTTTATTCAGCCACTACTGCTTTGTCTATTAAGATTCTTGCTCTTTCCATAGAGCTATACACCTTCCTATATGTGCTTTGGAGGACAGCATACAGGATGCCAATGCATAACAAGTTAATCATTCCTTTGTAGTGTGTAAGCCACATTTCAGAAACTCCCAAAACTGTCCTGTAATACACAAATTTATGGAACAGCTTCTTACAGTTTGTCCTTGCTTTCCCTGTACTTTCTCTGCTTCCTCTTACCTGCTAGGTGGACATTTATATGAAAGACAGTGCTATAATAATTATAGCCCTGTTTTGTTATAGTTATATGGTGCTGTCTCTCATACACTAATCTTCTTCCATTACATTTGTGAAGTACAACTTAAACTCCCACTTCACAGTAAATATTCTCCCTTTCAAATTAACTTTTGCTATTTCATTATTCTAACTCATGGTATTCTGAGTTACACTAGACAATCTCAGTGTCTGCTTACAAATGAAAGTGCATTTGAATTTAAAGTTCAAGTTGAATTTAAAGTAGCGGGCTGCAATTCTGTTTATAAAATAGTTTTAACCACAACAGGATCTTTGTTGCATATTCATCTCCAGCAGAGACTGTTTAATAAAAATACAACTGACAAATACATAAACACATTCATTCAGGATTAAATAATATTGAAAATATAATACTCTAAAAGCTAAAAACAAAACAACTCACCTCCTGCAGAAATACTTGATAGGAGACATTTCCTTCTGATTATCACAAATACAGTACATTTTTGCTACATATCAAATATCATAGTTGTAAGTAAATCGTTAGAAACTGGGGGAGGGTTGGACTAGATGACCTCTAGAGGTCCCTTCCAACCTTAAGCATTCTATGATTCTATGAGAAATGGCTGGGGGCAAAAGAGATTACAATTCATACAGTTCATATAATGTTTGCTAGTGCAGGAGTTGCAATTTTACAGTTCCATGAAACACAGCAGAGGACTAGCTCATTCAGTTGCTACATGAAATAAGTTAGAGGAGCCTCCAGCAATTCAGCTATGCAAAATACACAGGAAAAAAAAACAGGACATATGCAGGTACCTTCAAACATTTCAGTGCATTTCTAGCAGTCGCATATAGATATTACTTACAGAACAGCTGTTAAAAACCCTTCCCATGTGTTCCAAATGAAAGAACATCAAAACATCACTATCCCGTGCTAGAGGTGTAACATAATTCAGAATTCAGAAGCTAGAATGCTTGCCACAATATCAGCAACAGCTTTCACCTGAACTACCCTTTATTAGACAGGTAACATCTCAGCTACTTAAAAAAAAAAATCTTATGTACTATAAATTGCCTTTTGACTATAGGAAGGATTTTGTACAGGATCCAAGTAGGATGTGCAGATTCAACTGACCAATGATGAGCTATTCGTATCTTCCTGCAAAGCCCAGGATGTGACTTCATTTATCTGCATGCATTTATCTACATGCATTTAGGTCCACTTCAACCTCTTCTAAACTAAGTGCCACACACTAAATAGTAAACAGTGAACTGATGATCCATCACTTTATTTGGGATACAAGATTATGATGTTTATCACTACCGCAGTAACACAATAAAGTTTAGAGGTGTTCTCAGAGTATGCTCCAATTGCAGTATTTGAAGACTGGAAAGAGGACTGGTGAGAAGGAAGGAGGGAGTCATTTAGCTTCCATTCACATCTTTATATACATAAAATCTCATAGTAAATTTCTAGAGGGCATCTGTCAAACACACAACTAGTGTTAAGTTCTTAGGCATTCTTTGAACAGGCTTGGGACAGCTTAGGACAGGCTTGTTCTCCAGCTTTGGTTTATTTTATTTTGGGTGGTTTGCTAAAGGAATAGCAGAGTTTTAGGATTTACATTTCACTTTGTTAACTTGGGATCAAATCCTGCAGGGACACAGGGGTATATTTATTTATACTGAACACAAGTAGAACCTATTCGTGTTATGTGTAATTAAATACATATATATATATATATATAAATGTATGCAACTATGTATATGTATGTGTGCATACACACATAGCATCATGCTCAACTGGTAAGTGATTATTGCTCATATCTATCAAAAAAGAGAGAATTTAGTAAATCCTTGTTTGTTTTCCAAGATTTTCTTTCCTATACCTTTCATTATTTTAAATATGTAAATCATTTTTACTTTATTTTTCTTTTAAATTTACTCTTTTTTAATGGAAGCTTCTATAGGGCTCTCATATTCTTGCTACTTTTTAAACTATTCTTTAACTCCACTTTTATCCTTTAAAAAGGCATGCAAAAAGCACTAGGCATATTCTAAGTAAGGCATATTATGATGCAATATAGCTATATAGTAGTTTAATATAATACCTGGAAAAAAAAAAAAGAAAACCTGGCACAAACTGGATATAGTAATTAATTAGGAATTCCCTACATCAAACTAAAAGGATTCAGTTTTATTCCGTAACAGTGGATTAATGCAAGTGCTTCAAGGAAAACAAAATTCTAAATGAGGACCTCTTCAGTCCTTCACCCTAACAATGTCTTATTTTTGGTATCACATTTAAGCACAAGAGTTTATTTTCAATAATAAAGGTGGGAAAGGGAAAGCAGCATAATTGCTGCAGTTCTCATAACCTGCAGGTTAACTGCAAGAGATAAAGACTAAATAAGAGACCAACATATTAAATTAGTAACAGGAGGAAGATGGTAGGAATCCACCAAGCCTACCTGGATGGCTGCCAGGTTCTTTTGTTCCTGTGAGGGAGCCTCATGGACAAAACGCAGCCAATTAGAATGGCGTGGATTGCTTGCATCCAAGATATAAAGGACTTCGCCTTTACTCCCACGAACCTGGAACATTAATAAGAATAGCTAAAATTAAAACTGCTTACAGTACCTACCAAATAAACAGAAGCATTGGCAGACACACATGAACACATAAATTGCTAAGGCAGGTTGATGCTCAACAGCTGCACCAGTTGTTGAATGCAGCAGGAACTCCCAGCTACAGTGCCATTCACCTATTTGCAGAAGCACATTTACCTCTGAATAAGCATGCAACACAAACCCAGCAACTGCTGTCAGTTTCCTTTTTTGAATTCTCTCTTTGCCTAGTCTTTTCCTAACTGATTATCTCTGTATCATGACTCTCCAATCCATCTGTATGATTGCTCAGCCTCATGTTCTTTTCTTCCCCTTTTTCTTTCAAATCCTCCTCTCCTTATGATCTTTCCAGACACTGATAAAACCTGAGGTCCTTTTCCCTTCCACCCCCATCATCCCTTTTCCAGATTTCCCGAGTTCTCCTCCTTTGCATGTTTTGATGTCAGTATTTTACTCCTACAGTCTACCTAGTTCCTCCTCTTCTGTCCCAGTCTGTCATCATTCAGTCTCTCTCATTGCTTCCTGAGTACTTGGATTTGAAGGTCACCTGCTTCCTTTTCCCTTCCTCACAACTGACTGTTTCCTCTTCCTTTCGTAAACTACTGTCCAAGAGCGAATCATTTTCTTCTGTGACCTGCATGTGTTCTCCAAGTTCCTCATCAACTTACTCTGTCATGTTTCTCTTTTACTGTAACTTCAGAGAATACCAGCAATAACTTTCTGCTAAACATAAGGGGTAGGATTTTCTCTAATCCTATGCTATTTCGACCATCATTTGTTTACAATACAAGGGCATTCAGGCTCTTTCTCCTGTATTTCTCTCCTCCTGTTTCTG